AGTCTGCTCTTATATTATGGCTGTATTTGTTGAATCATGTGTTGTAATTTTTCCGAGTTAAACTGTGGTGAACCATGTAAATACACACTCTTTGAAATTTGTGAAATTAAGTTATGTTATATAGTAAATCTTAAAAATGTAAAATGTGTGTTACTGCTGGAAAAAAATGCAGAAAAATAGTAAGTTTTTTCTTACTTGTTGAACTGATGTGGAAAAGAAAAGGAGCAGAATAAATACAGAGAAAACAGGAAAGTTAAGTAAATCACAGTAAAAGCATTAAAATATATATTTAACCCTAAAATATCCTGAATCATTTTACAAAAGTAATTTATTCAATAAATAAATGGACAGAGAGCACAACCCCCCCAATGTTAGACCTAAAGTTACGCCCTTGGTTCCGGTTCAGTCTTCTTATCAGTAATTGGCACGCTGTGTTCCACTGATATCTCAGTTTTCTCCAGCTGTTCTCCAGATGTCAGCTGTTGAGGTTTTTCCTGTTGTTTGTTTCCAACCGAAACTTTGTTCAGGAAATACTTCATGTTTGAAGCCAGAAGTTGAGCTCCAGTTTGATTTAGACATTCCATCAGACCTGAAGAGATGTTTTCTCTCCCAGAAGAGATCAAAGTTATCCACAAAACTCACAGAGTGGTCAGCACAGAGCTTTTCCAAAAACCCATTAAGARCCAACAGTCTGCTGAACCTCTCGGCCCGTCCTCTGGCTGTAGGAMCGGGCCCACTGAGGAACACATCCATGTTGATTTTTAACTGCATTCAGCAGCTGAATGAAATCCTTCTTCGGGATTTCTGACTGTCTGTTCAAAACTTCATCACTTCCTGTATGAATGATGAGGGTCTTCAAAGTTGGATGCTCAGCTGCAATTTCCAGAATCTTCTCTGTGAGGTCAGACACTTTATCAGCAAAACTCAGAACTTTGACTTTTTTCTTGTTCCAGAAGCCTCTGATCTCATTCACCATTTTGTCTGTAACAACGTATCAACATTTCTTGATTCTTGAAAGTCTCTTTTTGGACTTGCTTTGGCTTTGAGCTGGATCTGGATCTGGTCTTAGATCCCTCACTGAGATCAGATAGTGAACTTTGATCAGACTCACCAGCTTCTTCCAGTGGTGTGAATCTGTTTTGAAGAAACACTGCTTCATTTCTCTGGCCTTTATCAGTTTTGATTACAGCCTGTTTCTGCTTTATTCTCCTTGCTGGAGGAGAAAAGGCATTTCTCTGTAATTCTGGCCATTCRATGTCATCTAAGAGCTGAATCCTTCCTGAGAGATTTTTTGGTCTGGCACAAACAGAGTTCCATACARTTTTACCCTCTGAAGCAGCTTCCATCTCCTCTCCATGTTGATCTCTCATCTCAGCCTTCTCCCCCATTTTAACGCATGTTGAGTTCTCCAAAGCATTCATCTCTTCCAAACGATGGATCTTGAGCTCCAACACCGTCACCTTTTGGAGAAGCTGGCAGAAATCCTCTTTGGAAAAGTAAGGAGGCATCTTGAAGTTTTTATTCACTCTCAGCAGATGATGTTTCAAAAATCTTCTCAGGTTCTTCAACAGTCAAAAATAAAAATTCAATATTCTTTTTTTTATTCAAGATCATCCATCACAATCGTCACCAGCGTATCTCTGTTGTTAAAACAATTTACCATAAAAAGGTTCTTTTCATCCAGCTGGAGTCACGGTCCTGAGCAGTCCAGTCCTTGCTCACTCATATCAGTCCACCTGCAATGTGGCCTTGGTCCGTCGATCTCCTAGTGGTTCCTGTGACAACGCCAAACTGTTATGGCAATATTTATTTAACAAAGACAGAAATACGTGGTCCAAGAATGAAGGTACTCCGTGGGATGATCAGCTGAGTTTTATTGCAACAACAGGAACACAGAGAACAACCTGGCCTGTCTCTGTGCCTCTGCTTCTCTCTGTCACTCCACTCTGTCCACTGTGTGTGTCCACTCACTCGAGAGGCCTCATATATATATATTAACAAACACCATTATGTCATCTTAGCAAGATTTGATACAAGGTCAACAGAAAACACAAGTGATATCTAAGAATGACTGTTGTTAGCAAATCTTGTTCTGACTTTAATCATTCTATCTGCAGATGAACAGCATGTCATGAAAATCTAGGTCATTAAAGGATGTCATGAATTACTGGCTTAAACCWAAAAGTATTAGTTCCATTACAACCAGAAACAGTTAAATCGTCTTCAGATTGTCCAAAACTCGACAGCAAGACTCCTAACCCAAACCTCCAAATTCACCCACATCTCCACGATCCGAGCAGATCTTCACTGGCTTCCAGTTGAATTCAGAATCTGGTTCAGAATCCTGGTCCTCATCCTTCAGAGCTCTTCATGGCCAAGTCCCAGAATACATTAAGTCTCATTTCCCCTTACAACCCCAGACGAGACCTCCGCTCACAAGATCAACATCTCCTTATGGTTCCCCTCACTCGCTTCAAGACCCGTGGTGACCGTGCTTTCTCTGTGGCCCCCAGGCTCTGGAATGAACTCCCTTTTAATCTGCRCTCCCTTGATAACATCGTCTCTTTCAAGACTCTCCTAAAACCTCACTTTTTCTCTGAAGCGTTTAGCTAACCGTTTCACCATTACTGCCAGCCTACCTCCGTTGTAAATGCTTCGCCAATCTGTGTTTTCTTTAATATTGATCTCTTACTTACTTATTCTATAATGGTTGTGAAGCTTTCTTATTCTATTCAGTGTTTTTGTTTGAATCTCAGTGTTTCCTGTCTCTCTGCAGGCTATGAGCTTGTTCAGCAGCGCTCTGGCTTCTGGACAGTTGGGGCCTCTGATGAACCAGTTCGGCCTGCCTGCAGAGGCTGTTGAAGCAGCAAACAAAGGAGGTCAGTGGTCTCCCCTCATTACACGCACACACACGTTTGTTCTTCTATCCTCGTGGGGGACTTTGCATTGACTTCCATTCATTTTTCAGTCATTTCTGTAGCCTAACCCTGATCCTTTACCCAAACCTAACCTAAACCGAATCCCCCACCCAAAATCGGCATCCATACCGGTGGGGACCAGACTTTGATCCCCATAAGAAGCATTGGATCCCCTCAAGGCTGTCTGTTAAATGGTCCCCATGATGTAGCAAATATACATACACACACACACACTTGAATGACATTAACAAAACCTTTTCTAAATATTGTAGTCTGCGTGGAAAAACATTATCCTAGGTTAAATAACTTGAAAATGAAAAAAAACATTATTATGTAGAGCCATAAAGCATTGTCCTTATTTGGAAATGAATATTTTAACTTGCAATAATCAATAAAAACCTAAAGGATTGTGATTTATTTAATTTAATAATAAAATCAGCTTGTTAAAACTATTCAAATGTGTAGTTGTATTAATTAAACTTATGCATTAATTGCAGTAGTATAAGTTGTTCATGTGTAACACTACAACTTATCCTGCCTAATATGGGACATTTTTGAATATTTGAAGAAAACAAGCTCATATATTGATCTCTTTTAGTACAAAATGTATGATTTTACTCAGTGCTTCATTACTGCCACCTGCTGGTAAATACACATACTTGGTTAATGTACTGATTTTAATATATTGCAAGTATATTTTTTTAATTTAGTTAATGTGTCAGTATTGTTATTTTTTAGTATTTTATAATACAAAGTTTTTAGGAACATAGGTGCCGTTGAAGTGAAGACTCAACTGTTAGTCACATATCAGGTTGTTTGCACAGTGAGGTGCAGTGTTAGTAATATTAAACCTAGAGGTTAAACATTTCCTTTTAAATAGGTTAATAGATGATAAATCAACACTTTAATTCTCATTTCCTTACTAAATCTTATAAAATTGGAGTTGTTTTAACAGCTGAGAAACTATTTGGWAGAATAAGTGTTTCAAACGTTTGTTGTGCAGATGTGGAGGCGTTTGCGAAGGCCATGGAGACGGAGACCAAGCCGGATCAGGACAGTGACTCCAAAGAGAAGGAGGATGATGAAGACATGAGTTTAGACTGAATGAAGATAACCTAACACTGCTATTTATTTCTATTTATTTAACTGCTGCTGTTTTTGTCTGAAGACAGACTATTAAGCTAAAGACTTAATGTTGCTAAAACTGTGACTCTCAGCTAAGAGCACTTTGAACCAATATCTGCTGATTTAGCTCAGTGATTGTTGAAGCTGCATGTTCTCTCTTCACACCAGAGTAAAACCTGAAAAAACACTATTATCCTGCTGTTGTCATTTCATCTGCTTTAGATTGTTAATGTCCTTAAACAACAAAATGCTTAAATTTCTTAAAATATTTCAAAAACTTTATTTTCACAGAGCACATTATGTTTTTACCACTCCTACACAGACAAACATTAACACATTTGGTTGTTTATCTGGAACATTTTCCACCACGAGACACAAACTGAATCACAATCAAGTAAAAGGTTGTGTGTCTGTCAGACACAAACATCTGAAGATGAGCTGCAGCACTATGAAGAAATGCCAACGCTGAAATATCACATTTGATTGGATCATTATTTATTTCACTGTCACTGCGGTTTCAGGCACGTTTCCACTAAATCTAAAAAGCTACTGCTGTCGGCACAGAGCAACATCCACTTCTGAACACGAGTCATAAAAATACAATCAGTTGTCGTCCAGCTGATCTTGAACACTGTGACAAAAGCTACAGTGACAGGCTCTGTGGGCTGGACTTGTTTCAGCTACTGAACAGAAAATTCCTGAGAAATAAAATGTGACACAAAGTCAGACCAAAGAGGAATCTAACAGTGCATTTCATAAAACTCATTACTGGGTAATGACAAATACAACACTAAACAAAACACCTGTAAAACCCAGTGTCTGTGCAGCAGAACAACAAACACACTCGTCAGACCTGCCACAGGTTCTGAACTAGTTTCTTTTAATTAAGATAAATATGTGAATTTGAGTCAGTTCATTAGAGACAAACAGCAAACAAAAAAATAAATTAAAGGCCTCTTCTTTCTTAAAAACATTTTCAATCACAATCCAGTAATATTTCATTCAAATGACTTAAAAAATGCTTCATCACAGTGTTAAAAAGGCTTTTACAAAATCTACAGTGGGATTTTATTAGATAAAATAAATACTTAAAAAATAAAAAACCAAAAATGTGCAAGTACTAATATATTTTTTCTTTTCAGAAATGCACAAATCACAGGTGTACATTTCTTATAAATATGTCAGGAACCATAAAGGTGAAGAAAGAAAACAAGAACAATAAAAAACAAAAGCACTAATAATGTGCTGATTAAACATCTCTAACATAGAGCTCATCAGAACGTTACACACACACACACACGTTCTTGAACCCCGTGGGGACCTTCCATTGACTTCCATTCATGTTTAGACTTTATATCCTAACCCTGACCATATACTCTAAAATTAACCTCACAGAAACTTACCTGACCCTAAAMCTAACMCCACACCTGTAACATGCATTTGGACCCATGGGGACCTGGCAGTGGTCCCCACGAGGATGCTTTTTTTGGTTAAAAAATTCCCCACGTTGCAAGACCACACACACACACACACACACACACACACACACACACACACACACACACACACACACA